ACAAAAAAAAAAACGGAAAAGAAAGTCAACTTCCAGAAACCAAAATCCTATTTAATTAAATAACTAACTACCATTCCAAATTTCAAGCAGAGGCCGACGTGAATTCCCAAATAACATTTCCCGCACGTGTGGCCATCAACCCACCACCACCGCTACGGCGGAGACACCACGCGTCCGCCGTTCTCCGCCACACACACACACACACAAACACACACACAGAGAAACGCACGCATTTTCCCAATTTCCCTCCCAATGGCCGAGGAAATGGTTTACCTCCACGGCGACCTTGACCTGAAGATCATCGAGGCCCGCAGCCTCCCCAACATGGACATCCTCACGGAGCGCCTCCGCCGCCTGTTCACCACCTGCCACCAGCCCTGCGCCCCGACCAAGCGCCGCCGCAAACACCACAACAACATCATCACCAGCGACCCCTACGTCACCGTCTGCCTCTCCGGCGCCCGCGTCGCCCGCACCCGCATCATTTCCAATTCCCAGAACCCCGTTTGGAACGAGCATTTCAAAATCCCCTTAGCTCACCCCGTTTCACAGGTATCTTATACCTTATTTCAAAATTCACAACAATAAAATAATAAAAAATAATAATAATAACAAAATATAATAATTAGGTGGAATTGGAGGTGAAAGATAACGACATGTTCGGAGCCGACCTAATCGGCGTGGCGGCAATGCCGGCGAAGAAAATCGCGTCCGGCGACCTAATCGACGAGTGGATAACAGTTGTGGGCCCGTCCGGTAAGCCTCACAAACCCGACACCGCAATCCACCTCCAGATGACTTTCACCCCTTGCGGAGCCAATCCTAAATACCGCAAAGGGTTCTCCGAAGACTACTCCTTAAGGGAGAGCTATTTTCCCCTGCGGCGCGGGTGCAGGGTTACTCTATACCAAGACGCGCACGTGCCGGACGGGATGCTTCCGGAGATCCAGCTGGACGGTAAGGGAAATAGATTCGAGCACGACAAGTGCTGGGAAGAGATTTGCCATGCGATTTTGGAAGCGCACCATCTTGTTTACGTAACGGGTTGGTCGATATATCATAAAGTGAGGCTCGTGAGGGAGCCGACAAGGCCTTTGCCGAGAGGGGAGAATATGAACTTAGGGGAGCTTTTGAAGTATAAATCCGAGGAAGGGGTGAGAGTGTTGTTGCTCGTGTGGGACGATAAGACTTCGCATAATAAGTTCTTTATTAACACGGAAGGAGTCATGCAGACTCACGACGAGGAGACGAAGAAGTTTTTCAAGAACTCGTCTGTTACGTGCGTGCTGTCGCCGCGTTACGCGAGCACCAAACTTAGCATTTTCAAGCAACAGGCATGGGAGTTCTTAGATTTGACCATAAGAGAAAAATGGATATATATATTTATATATGCTTATGTAGGAAATTTTGACGAGAAGTATTCGTCGATAATTTTTCAGGTAGTGGGAACTCTCTACACTCACCACCAGAAGTGTGTGATTGTGGACACGCAAGGACAGGGTAATAATCGTAAAATCACGTCATTTATCGGTGGACTTGACCTTTGCGACGGGCGTTACGACACGCCCGACCACCGGTTGTTCCAAGACATCAATACTGTTTTCAAGGACGACTATCACAATCCCACATTCTCGGTAACAAATCTTAATTTCAACCAAAAAATAAATAAATAAATAAAATGATCCGCTCATTTGAGTGATCTATTAATTAATGGGGAATTAATTTAACCAAAATGTAGCTAGGAACAAATGGGCCAAGGCAGCCGTGGCACGACCTGCACTGCAAGATAGAAGGGCCTGCAGCTTACGATGTGCTCACCAACTTTGAGCAGAGGTGGCGTAAGGCCACTAAGTGGTCCAAGTTTGGGAAGAGGTTCAAGAAGATTTCGCATTGGAAGGACGATGCTTTGCTAAAGGTTGACCGAATTTCCTGGATAACTACACCTTCAAACAACCTACCCAATGATCATCCCTCGTTGTGGGATTCTGAGAAAGATGATCCCGAGGGCTGGCACGTGCAGGTTCGAATTTGTTTGCACTCTCATGTTTTTTTTTTTTTTCCTTTTTT